ATCCGTTTCTCTCGCACAGTGTTCGTTTCTCCCTCGCGTTCGGCCTCTCTGTCTCTCCCTACCGGCATCCCGCAGCACTCAACAGGGGCCGGGTCATTTATCTAAATGGCTACTGGGTGGCCCGGCTCTCGCAGTGTCCTGTCCCAACAAACCAAAACTAACCCAATCACACGGGGCTGCGAGCGGCCGTCGACCAGAAGAAAGGAGCCCCGAAAAACAAACGTTGATAGCCGGACCCCGAATAGATTGAGGTGTACGCGTTCCGATGCGCGGCGCGTAGGTCCCGAGACGGCGAAACCAGTTCCGAGTACTCCGCGGGCTCGTTCCTGGCCGCCTAGTTGTCGTTCCTTCGCGTAATGGAAGTAATCCGACCTCGTTGAGAATATTTAACGGCTGGCCGCAATGATACCGTGCCACTTTCGCGACGCTTCCTAGTATCGTTGTTATGCAATGACACGCCGCCACCTCGGGACTGTTTCAATGACTGCGAGCCGTTAGATCCCGTCTCGTGTCGGCCAGAAACCCCGTCCACGTCCGCGTGCCAGGACAGCCCGCGACGCGTCCCGACGACGCGACTATTTTCAGACCGCTTCCCGATTTTTGACGTCAGCGACCGCCCCGTTGCGTCACCGAGGAGTAGGCGAGCCTGGCATGCGATCGTGCGACGGCTGCTTCGAGCTTTCCACCAGGCCCTGTCGTTCGGTATCTTCAAAACCGAGACATTTTTTAGCCGAGTTTGCAACAAAATTAGCCAACGTCTCGATACAAACTCCTGCATTCAATCGCATCAGGATCTTCGAGTTCTCCATATTCACCGAATTCAATTTTAACACAAAATCACTAAACACTTAATTGTAAATCACTTGTTATAAACGAGTTTACACTTCGACGTTCGTTGCAGGAAGTAGTGGGATACGTTTAACGTAATGTTCCCAAACTCGTACGAAGAAACACACACACATTTACACTTTCACGCGAGTGAAAAGTTATTCCATACGTAGATCAGAGGTGTCGTGATTGCCACTTAATTTGACCGTGTTCCAACAGATTCCTTTAGATACAGCACTACTAATTCCTCGCTTAAATAGTTCACTGCTACGCATTTTTCGTGACCAATCTCATCAGTTCCCTTTAGAATCCTCGTTAGAGCGGACGCAATAAGAACAGCTGCTAGAGAACTACCAACGTCGCACGTCCACAGTCGTGGCAGGCATCGATACATGCACATGCACGAGCCGAGAAGGCACTTGACGCCAGTGCACCGCGTTACGCAACTCAAAGTTACCGAAAAGGCGGCGCGGTTACGATACTCGGCGCTAACTTTCTTGCTGCTGCTTCGTTAACCCTAGTAGGTCTTCCGACCTCTCGTCTGATCTCACACATTTTTAGATTACTCGCAGTTTTTCTCTGCCCTGTTCTTCTTCTCCACATACGTCTACTACTATCGACAATTTGCTCGACTTTAATTATTCGTACCGTAAAAACTGTCTAGTATTTTACATACATCAGGAGGAATCAAAGGCACATTAAAATGAAAGGTCACTTGCAAGTAACCTTTGCCCAACAATGTGGCATTTGTAATCGACGAGAGTTGTTTAAAATTTTTGTTATAGACCTACGTAATTCTAGTCTGATCAAATTTCAGTTCGTGGTGGTCACGATACGAAGAATCGAAGCGAACCACCCAGTACGTGATTCCTCTGACGCCCTCCCACGCGGTTCACGCGCGCCTCGGCGCTCGTGGAACGGCGACTCCCTCGTGAATTTTTTTAATCCGATTCGCCGGCGCGTTTGCGTGGCTGCCGTGTTGTTTTCCACCGCCGTTCCCTCCCTCTCCGACCTCCCCTCCGTCTCCGCGACCCGGTCGTTCGTTTAAAATGCAAACTCGCGGTCCGCGGGGTTTTAAAACACCCGCTATACCCGGATTTCGTTGCGCCGCAAACTTGGCCCGTCCCGTGCCTCATACGGATTTATGGCACCGCTGACGTGCTTCTATTCCGGAGCTCATCGCCGGAGATTTTCCGGCGCGCCTCTCCTTCCCCCCTCGCCCCTTCTCCACCGCTTTCGACCGGGCTTTTCCAAAACCGTATTGGAACGGAATTACGAGGAAAGAGAAAGAACGTTCGACTACGCGCTATGTTCTTTTTGTTCCGCCCGCGTTGGGACATGTAAAAATGTCCGACAGGAGCTTGCCGGATGGATACGACCGGGCAATTTCTCTTAATTTTTCTCGTGATTTCGCTGGACGACCTGTCAATTTTTTTCATGTTCATTCGAGGTCGTTCAGACACCGGACGAACTACAACTCGGAGTAATGTCCGACGGAAGCTCGTCGGATCGATCCGAACGGGTGATTTCTCTTACTTTCCTCGAAATTTTAGTCGGACGGGATTAGTCGAATTCGGGAAAGCCGCTGACCTAATTTAGACAGAGCCGTATGCTCTTTTGTGGCCGAATTCTGTGTCAAAAAACGTATTTCCGTTCCAATTCCATCTCTCGTCGCGTTATGCAATTCCGGGGATCATCTGAATCCTGTGTCATCGAACCTGTTCCATATTCCAAAATACAATTTCGGAGCAGTCTTCTCTGGCGTTACTTGTGACAGGAAAAAATGGCTTTGAGTGAATTAAATGCTGGGTCCTCGAGAGTGTTTAGCACCAACGCACGTGACGTTCTGTGAGACACTCGTTCACTTTTCTGCCCGCGATAATATTCTTTGATACGACTTTTTGTTATCTCCGGCTCCTTTGGGAGCAGTCGGATCCTCGAGGGGTTTGGGATCCTTTGGTCAAGCTCTCCATCTTTTGTAGTCGTTCGTGAAAACATCCTGGGATTCCGCCAGTTCATTTAATCTATTTACGGAGCAAAAGTGGCCGCGTCAAGTATGAATATTTATCGCGGCTTGGTCGTTCGAAACGGAGCACCGAGTGTGCGAGGGGTCGAGGAAAAGGTGGCCGCCTCGAGCAAACGAACCGCGCCGACCGCACGCGCCTTGTCCGGGATTCCGCGTCCCATTTGTCGACAGGCCGTTCTAAGCGAAAGGTGGCCCAGCTTGTGGAAGAATTCTCGTATGTCATCCCCGGTATCGATCCTTATTCGGCACAGCGGGCTGGATGGCCAGTGATCATTACGGATCTCCAGTTTCACGCGCTTAAACTCAGACCCGAGAGGTTATGAGATCGACCATTGGGGTCAGACTTTTAACCATAGGGGGTTTACCAAGCTTTGGTTTTTGTATTCATAAATATTTTTACGAAAATTCGTTCAGTATTTCGTTATAATATTGGACACTAGCCGGAGTTCTGCACTGTCCGCTTGTAGCGCAAGGATGACCATCCAAAATAAGCGAGCTCGAGTCGGACTCTGCTAGCGATCATCATTGAGTCTCATCAAGTAGAAAATGAAGAGTGACTGTAGCACCACGACCGTAGTCGCATCGGAGCCAAACACGAAAACTAGTTTAAGATGCTTATTGTCGCAGGAAGGAGCCTTAAAGTGGTATATATGTTCAGACTTGGCGTGGGTATAGATAGATCTCGTCCCGTACAGCTATGCGGTCAGACTATATGCTCGTTATATGTCAATACGCATTGCGTGATACAGCCATCCGTAGGCGACAGAATGCCGGGTTCATGCTTGGGCGTATTCAACCGTGAAACGCACCCCAACGCGTTTACGTAAGCGTACGGGAAGACACACACACCCTCGAGTAGGTTAATCTACACCTGTTTCGATCGAACCGGTTATCTCGAGGGGTGGATGTCGCCTGACCCCGGAACTCCCAGAACGTTGACGATTATCTCGGTTTCGACAGATCGTTTCGATCGTTGACTTTAATTCGGTTTGTTTCAATTTGTCGAAGGCGGAATAAGATTACACCCACCTAATTGGCGGTATAATTTTAGGGTACATATCAGTATATCGTAATAAATTCACTCAGTTCTTATAATACACTCCCAGTTTATAAATTGACGACAGTCATTGGAAATTCCCCTGATACTTTGGTATTCATAAAATCATCGGTTTCCGTTCGACGACGATACACACGGTCGGTACCGTCGCCTCCATTGTGTCTAATTACGGGACGTGGTCGTTTGATCGGGTCGTATTATCTTAAGGCGGTGGTCACCTAGATATCGGCATTGTTATCCTGCCTGACCGCAGCCACTTAACCGAGTTGTAAGCCCCCACGAGTTCAACTTTACCCTTCAACAGGTGTTCAGGGAAAGACAATAATGTCGCGCATGCGCTCGCAACTTCTTAAGGTCGCAAAGTTCGTCCGAACAATCTGACCGCGGCCATGCCTACGGACCGTGACGGCATTCGCGCCGGAGTTAATTGAGTTTCCCGGGAAGTTGGAATTTTTTTTATCGAGACGAACTGCCGTGACGGGGACGTACGCGGCGTGGGTTTTGCGAAAATGGCTGTGAAGCAACGTCGTAGTTCTCTTTACGCAATAGACCGTCGGGGAAATACGAATTCGATTGCATGGCACGTAACTTGACACACGGAGCTTATTAAACACTAAATATATTTCTACTTCGACGTGGTTAAAATCGTTTGAATTTTTGGCTTTTCCGTAAGATACACTGTTTGAAAATGTGGCATTTTCATCTGTTGAGTTTTTAAATTCGTTTGATCCAGTAACGCTTGCGGGTAAAAGTGGTCGCGGGAAGTTTGAAACAGGATTGGTATCTGACTTCACAGAAATCTACGTTACCGATTGAAGATGAAGGTATCAAGTTTTCTGTATTACCGACACTACCCTTCACAAGCAACTGATGGTAACAGAATTGGTAACATCCGATGCAAGGGTAGAAACCTTCTTGACTGCGGGGTAGTTTCATGCAGTCATCTAGGTGGCACTGTTGAAATTTTGATTAGTGACAAATAAAAGCAGTTACAAGTGACACGATATATCCTCATTCTTTTCTCCTGTATTTAACTTAAATGTTAAAGGTTTGAATTCAATTTTAAATCGCATTTTATGTTGATTTCAGGCATTAAATGGCGCCGAAGGGACTGTTCCACCCGGAAGAGTGTACAAGAAAGTTGCGATTGTCGAGAACTTTTTCGACATTATTCATGCTGTTCATGTTGACCTTGAGGGTCGTCCGGGAAAGCATGCTGGTCAGAAGAGGACGTATAGGACGGTAAGTTCTTATACCCGTTATCATTTTCTTTTTCTATACGATACACCGAATACCAGCTTTTCGAGCTTCTACTCCCGACACATTTGTAAATGTTATGCCATTTGTCCTTAAAATTGGTTGAAGGGCAATTCCTTATGCAAATAACAAGTTCATTCATGGTTAAGAAAATATAACTTACCTGGGAAGACCACTATGTGATATTTTGTAGGACACTGTATAAACTTATACAGCATCAACATTGCTCCCACTAGTACACAGACGTATTATCCACTGTCTTTTATGAATCTATGTATCTTCACGAGTGATGTGATTTCCACAAACACTGAACAGTGTCACTTCACTATTTATCACAATCACTTTGGTTTTGATCTATCGATTGAGTGCTTAGGGGCGATTAGGACAAAATAGCTGTAGAAGTGATGTTACTCCTTTTTCAGCTACCACTATAAGTACACTATACCTGTAAAGAAATTCTCTGGTCAAAACTCAGTTTGACCAGACATCAACCACTCACTCTTCCGTACCCTGCACCGAACAAGTCGTTACAGAGCCCCAGAGGTGAGCTGAGTTACTCCTTTTTCAGCTACCACTATAAGTACACTATACCTGTAAAGAAATTCTCTGGTCAAAACTCAGTTTGACCAGACATCATTCACTCGCTCTTCCGTACCCTGCACCGAACAAGTCGTTACAGGGCCCCAGAGGTGAGCTGAGTTACTCCTTTTTCAGCTACCACTATAAGTACACTATACCTGTAAAGAAATTCTCTGGTCAAAACTCAGTTTGACCAGATATCATTCACTCGCTCTTCCGTACCCTGCACCGAACAAGTCGTTACAGGGCCCCAGATGTGAGCTGAGTTACTCCATTTTCAGCTACCACTATAAATACACTATACCTGTAAAGAAATTTTCTGGTCAAAACTCAGTTTGACCAGACATCATTCACTCGCTCTTCCGTACCCTGCACCGAACAAGTCGTTACAGGGCCCCAGAGGTGAGCTGAGTTACTCCTTTTTCAGCTACCACTATAAGTACACTATACCTGTAAAGAAATTCTCTGGTCAAAACTCAGTTTGACCAGATATCATTCACTCGCTCTTCCGTACCCTGCACCGAACAAGTCGTTACAGGGCCCCAGATGTGAGCTGAGTTACTCCATTTTCAGCTACCACTATTAATACACTATACCTGTAAAGAAATTTTCTGGTCAAAACTCAGTTTGACCAGACATCATTCACTCGCTCTTCCGTACCCTGCACCGAACAAGTCGTTACAGGGCCCCAGAGGTGAGCTGAGTTACTCCTTTTTCAGCTACCACTATAAGTACACTATACCTGTAAAGAAATTCTCTGGTCAAAACTCAGTTTGACCAGATATCATTCACTCGCTCTTCCGTACCCTGCACCGAACAAGTCGTTACAGGGCCCCAGATGTGAGCTGAGTTACTCCATTTTCTGCTACCACTATTAATACACTATACCTGTAAAGAAATTTTCTGGTCAAAACTCAGTTTGACCAGACATCATTCACTCGCTCTTCCGTACCCTGCACCGAACAAGTCGTTACAGGGCCCCAGAGGTGAGCTGAGTTACTCCTTTTTCAGCTACCACTATAAGTACACTATACCTGTAAAGAAATTCTCTGGTCAAAACTCAGTTTGACCAGATATCATTCACTCGCTCTTCCGTAACCTGCACCGAACAAGTCGTTACAGGGCCCCAGAGGTGAGCTGAGTTACTCCATTTTCAGCTACCACTATTAATACACTATACCTGTAAAGAAATTTTCTGGTCAAAACTCAGTTTGACCAGACATCATTCACTCGCTCTTCCGTACCCTGCACCGAACAAGTCGTTACAGGGCCCCAGAGGTGAGCTGAGTTACTTCTTTTTCAGCTACCACTATAAGTACACTATACCTGTAAAGAAATTTTCTGGCCAAAACTGAGTTTTGACCAGACACCAACCACTCACTCTTCCGCACTCTACACCGAACAAGTCGTTACAGGGGCCCAGGGGTGAGCTGAGTTACTCCTTTGTCAGCTACCACTATAAGTACACTATACCTGTAAAGAAATTCTCTGGTCAAAACTCAGTTTGACCAGACATCAACCACTCACTCTTCCGTACCCTGCACCGAACAAGTCGTTACAGAGCCCCAGAGGTGAGCTGAGTTACTCCTTTTTCAGCTACCACTATAAGTACACTATACCTGTAAAGAAATTCTCTGGTCAAAACTCAGTTTGACCAGACATCATTCACTCGCTCTTCCGTACCCTGCACCGAACAAGTCGTTACAGGGCCCCAGAGATGAGCTGAGTTACTTCTTTTTCAGCTACCACTATAAGTACACTATACCTGTAAAGAAATTTTCTGGCCAAAACTGAGTTTTGACCAGACACCAACCACTCACTCTTCCGCACTCTACACCGAACAAGTCGTTACAGGGGCCCAGGGGTGAGCTGAGTTATTCCTTTGTCAGCTACCACTATAAGTACACTATACCTGTAAAGAAATTCTCTGGTCAAAACTCAGTTTGACCAGACATCAACCACTCGCTCTTCCGTACGCTGTACCGAACATGTCGTTACAGGGCCCCAGAGGTGAGCTGAGTGGATTTGACCAGAGTGGGCCAGTCACCTTTGATGAAAATCTCTGCACCAGACTACTATCGAGATAATAGTCCAGATATGGGAGAACATCAGTTCGATCGGAGTTTTCGACCCGACCAAAGCCACGATAGTTTAGTCTTCGGAACTTCTCCTCCGTTCCTTGTTCCTGTTCTTGATTTGGCAACTTAGGGGTTTTCATCCATGGAGAAGCAAGCTCCCACAATGCATAACATTGGAGATGAGATACGATTCACAGTTCGAGGAATGCCTTCTTAAGCAGTCAACTGATTTCGTTCCAACTCTTGGGACGTCAGTTCGTCTCAAAAGCAAAGGCATATGTGACTCGGTATCGCAGCATTCCAGCTTCCAACGCTTCCACACGCCGGCATCAATAACGCATCCTCCAAAAAACAGTGGTTCCAGAACGTATCTAGTGTCATCCGAATTCAATTGAACGGGCTCCCCAGGGAAGATATATCGGCGCATCGATGACCCCGAATTCGTTCGGTGTCGTCAGCACGCCGAATTCTTGCATGGCCAGCCGCGACACATGATATTTACCGTTCCCGGGGGAAGGCATTGAGGCATTCAAGCGTCGAACACTCGATACCACACGTCATCTCACGTGTTCCGCTGCGCGTTGGCGTAAAGCTCTCTCCGGGGTATCATATCTGTTCTCCGACGCCCTCCTCCCCCCGCGGCTCGATCGGTTTCGCCTTCTTTCTCCGCTTGTCCGTTCCTCTTTCTCTCGTTCGCAACCCCGCCGACCTTCCTGCCCCTCATCACCCGCCACGCTCTTCCGCCGACCGCCCCCACCCAAACCGCGTCGTCCTCTTCCTCTCTCAACCGACGCGATCTGCTTGTGATTCAAAACTTCAGGACACTTGTTGCATTGCCTGCTTACTCGTGCGCTCGCACACACGCGCACGAGGCGGCGCGCACACGCACGCACGCATACAGCCGGGCGCTCGCGCGACCGTGAAACTGTTTTACGTTTAAGTCGACGTTACAAGGCGCGATTCATCGGTTCGCGGGAGCAACCCACCCTCCGCGCCGCGCCGCACGAAACGTTGCGCAATGGGGATTTGTTGTATAACGGATTGGTACCCAAAGTTATCACACGACGGGTAGTTTTCAAGGAGATGAAACTTTGCTCTCGCTTCGCTCGATACAGTAACTCCAGCACTGTTAAGACTCTTTATATCTGGTCTGTTTTCCGGCCAGTCAGAGCCTTGTTTTTAGGAGGCCACTTTCTGAGACTTCGACTTTGTTTCTTGAGCGGAGGAGCAAGCTTATATCGTAGAAAAGTTGGGGATCTTGAGAAGTCACATTATCGTAGCTTCGAGAAGTTTCATTTGCACTATTGACTGCGTTGTATTCCACTGATTGGATAGCGTTGGTATTCTCTACCTAAACCATCAACTTGACGAACTCTTCTTTGCGCTTTCGACGACGCTTGCATTAGCGACGCCTTTGTAAAATTTTGGTTGTCGGTGTGAATGGAGATTTGACATGTTTAGGGCGACCGCGTGTGTGAAGTCTTCGTAAAGTTTAGGGCGTAGGGTAGCGCAAGGCGGTCGTGAAATGTGAGGGTTGCGTCGCACACAAGAGGGTGCCGAGTTGCGGTTAATTGATACTTAGGTTCTTGGGGTATCAGTTTCCTAAAGCGGGAAGGTAATAGAAAACTTTAGACCCCACCGCAACGATTTCAGCCGGGTCGATGAACTGATTGACGTTGCTTACTAAACAAATAGATTGCGTTGCTTATACAGAGTGTTAACAAAAATGGGGAACCTCTGTTTTCGATCAGTTTCGCATGGTTTTGGATTGGAAATGGTACATTTTTTAGCGTTTTTTATCGCTTAGAGTATCAACATTTCTCAATCAGAGAATCTCGAACCTCCGTCAAACTTGGGAACAAGAATGTCGTTCGCGGCTTGTACAAGTTTTGCCACTGTGTCACGTTGATCCAAAAGCCATTATCTCAGTTTCTTACCTACAGCTCTTTTCTTCGTCTCGCAGGCAAGCCTCAAGTAAATCTTATCAAATTACCTCACCGTACCTTGCAGCTATACACACGCGCGCACATACACGCGAACGGTGACGTGTATATACACATATACCTACATCAACCTTTGCCTTTCTCGGCTAGGAGGCTCCCATCCCTGATTAAGTTATGCCGCTCCTCCACCTCCTTAGAGAGAAACGTTTCCTATTAAGAGGCAGAGAACATCCCTCCGGCTAAATACCTCCTCGCAAAGACATCAAAGTTCCGTTACTGCTCATGAATTTTCCCCAGTGGGCGTTCCGCGTGAAACGGCTCCACGTGACGCTGACGTTTGACAGAGGGAGAAAAGGGGTCACTCATGCTGTTTGCTACGAGTCTCGCACCCCGAGCTTTCTAATCTTTCCGGAAAGAACTCCTCGATCGTCGAGACTCGGCGGCCATTTCTATTAATGTGGGATCCGTGATTTGGGTCAAATTGGAAGTTCGCGGGCATATGGGAAATGTTTGAAAAGATTTTGGTTCGGTTTGATAGTCATCAACGGAACAATCGTAACGTTGCGGATCTGGTTTAGGTCAGATTAGATCCAATGGGAATTCTAGGGGATATTGAAAATTTTCAGAAATATTTTGCCTTTGCTAGATAGTGACTTACCCTGTAATGTTGCAAGTGAGGTTGTTTAAGCCCGTTAGGAGGCAGACTTTGCTAGATAGGTTGTAGACATCGACGACAGTCTTTTTGTAACTTGGTCTCAGCTTTGGCAATCTGGAATTTTAAAATTACTCTGTTATAACTTAAATATATAACTATAGACTGTGAGGATAATCAATTGATCATTAGTCAGTACACCTTATGGACTTTCAAATTTTCAAATTGTTCTAAAAAAATTATTTTTAGCTGCGGGGGTTAATTACAATCATTTTTGGTGAACACACATACCCTCGAAGTCCTACGCACTTTCGAGAAAAAATTCTTTATATAAAAAATACATTGGATATGAGGTCTACTCGTGGTAGTAGCGAGCGAATAGATATTCAACGAGGGTAGGGAAAATCATCGAAACATAGAACTGGGTGGTAAACGAATTGTTATTCTAACGAGTGGATCATGTTTTGTTCCAGATCACGGAAACGTACGCCTTTCTTCCACGCGAGGCGGTAACGCGATTTCTGTTGGGGTGCACGGAATGCCAACGACGCCCGCGGACCCCGAGCCCGACGAATTTATCCACCCAGGCGCAGTCTACGTCGACGACGCCGATAACGACGACGACGACGACGCTGCTGAGCCCCAACCCGGGCGCCGCCCTCACGACGACGTCGACGACGTCGGTGCAAAGTAGTTCTAAGCCGCGCGAGGGACATCAAACCGGTGACAGCAAGGGTCTGTACAGCTACAGGCATCAAAAGCATCACAAGGGGAGCGTCGTCTCGATAGACAAAACCGATAAGGAGAAGGAGGAGAAGTACAATCCCCTGAGTATCACGAATCTGCTGAAGAAGGAGCCCGTGGCGGGGAGTTTTTTACCGAGCACGGAAACTCTGCCGGAGTCCAGGCGAACCCCGGAGTCCGATCGAGCGAGCTCGAGAAGTTCGGCATCGTCGAAGAGGAAAAGGATGTTGCCAGAGGGCCGTACGCCATCCCCTCAGCCCAGCCAGCCGTTGCCAAGGCCGTGGAGCCCTGGACTCGATCCCAAGAACACGCCCATAGACTATAGTCTTCCCATCACTACTTCGTACCTGAAGCACCAGCAGAGGCTACTGCAGGCGGAGAAAAACAAGGCTGCCGCGCTCAAGGAGTCCGAGCTCGAGCAGAAGATCACCATCCTGCCCGCGGACGACATCGACGCCGTCGAGAGGGACAGATATTCGCCAGCCACCGGTCTGATCGACACCAATCTCAATCTACTGGCCACCATTCAGCACCTCCACTGCCAAGTGATGCTGGCCCTCACGGAGAGGCTGAGACCGTCCATGACGATCCCAAGCCCCCTCGTTCTGCCTTCCATGACCAACGTATTGTCGAACGGTATACTGATGGGTTCGGAGGTGTCGGTGCAGACCGGCGAACACCACACGTGAAAGAAGAACGTTTCTCTGCGAGGAGGACCAAATGATTGTTGACTCCTGTTTTGAAAATGTGCGTCTGTTTTCTGTGGGACTCGTTGAATCGAGCGGAGTAGACGTATAGATGGGCACCGGTGCCCGAAATCTGTTGCTCGCAACGGATCGGACGCGATTTCCACTGTTTATCCGGTTAAATTTTGCGACGACGGATCACCGGAATTATTTAAACCGTTTGTACGTTTAATTTTTGATATTTAATAAATTATTCCTACCCCCCCGAACTATCCTTGGAGCTAGCTGTTCGAGTCTAACGGAGGATGATGAAATTCGACTGCAGACTCGACTACAAAACTCGTCCACGGTCTTGGAAGGCAACGCTAACGCGGCCAATATCCGATCCGAGCTGCCATTCGAATTATCGGGTAACGCGATCATCTATTAAACCGGATAAGATCAATTACTTCAGCGGCGTCCCGGCGTCAACGTCAGTTAACCGGCCACGTCGGATCGGATCGTTTCGCGCTCCCGATATAGACGGCGAAACGAGACGAATTATTCGTGAGTCTGTCAAAATATGGGTCGCCCGTCGCACGTCACCGATTTCTAGAGAGGAGCCACCGCGACCGCAAACCGAGCACCGGTCCTCGAAACGCGAACGTTCGATATTTAGAGATTCGGTCGCGAGGCGGTCTCCGAAACGGGCGGCGGAGTTTGACAGAGGCGATTGTTGCGCCAGGACAGCCTCTGAATATTTAACGATCGGATAAGATCGTGGCTTGCCCTTCATCGACAGACCAGTCAGAGAATTTTTATTTTTCCAAACGACGACGCGATACCCAGGGAACAAATCATTTTCGGAACTATGTTTAGAAGAATAGTCCATCAAGGTTAACAAGATCCTCGACTCAAGCACTAACTAAAGAACGTCATCTTTTATTGTTAAAATAAAATTGCATAAATCGAGGAACCTTGTTTAGCTCGTTGAACCGTAGTTCCCGCTTTTAAGGTAGAATTTTTACCCCGGATTCAAGGACCAAAATAACCTGTTTTCGATTCTGTTCCGCGAAAGTAGATACTATTGTACCGAATGACCACGATACCCGTTTTCAAGTAACAATTTTTACCCCCGATTCGGCCTAAGTTTCAGAGAGAAGTTAACCACTCAGCCCGCTTTCAAGTGAATTCGCGGTTTCAATTTTTTCTTGAAAACGGTGACCACTGTAACGAACGGGGCTGACCGACTTGTTTCTTCCGAATATGCAGGAATACCCGCTTTCGAGCGACGGAATCGTCCTCGGTCGACGAAAATCGCAACTCGCCCCGCTTTCAAGCGAACTGGTCCTGGATTTTCTTGTTCGAGAGCGGGAATCGCTGTGATTTACGAAACTTCCCGGAACTTTGTTACTTCTGCGTCGCGATCGCTGTGCGCACAATTACGCTTAACCCTGACTGCGGAATTGATTTTTTACTACGATGCGACGATACCGGTTTTGCGAGTAGTACGTTATCGTTCGACGACGAACAGCGTTTCCAAATAAGCGGGACCTCGTTTAATACGAATGTTATTATACCAAAGGCATCGCGAGGGGGGTGAAACTCTCGCGACGACCATATCCTCGAAACCTGACCGAATTGTTTTGTCGATGTTCGAGCTAACGTCGTGAACGGGGGTGGGTCACGTGGCCCGTGATCGTCTCGTGGAACTCGTTCGACGCTAAACTTTTTCGTATTTGACCGTGTAGTATAGCCTTGTGTATGATATTAAGCCTAGAGGTAGTTTTTCGTGTATCATATAGCATGTCGTTAGCCGGTGAACCTCGAGGACAACAAGGTACATAGTAGGCCTTAAGGGTGTGATCACACGGACGTGTTTGTACTACTAGAAGTTTGATAATCGTTGTGAAAGTAGCCGCAGATGTTGAATACGCTCGAGAGTGTATCGAATAGCACCAAACCCTATTATTTTGTACATAAATCGTTGTAACATAGCGCAATTAGTTGTTAAGGGTAAAACGCGCGACTATATTATTACGAATAATATCGCTATTATTATTATGATTACTGTGACAGTTATCCTTATAACTATTATTAATTATTATTTTATTATATTAAAATTGCACACGAACCAGATGGGAAAATATATGAGATCACAAAATCTGAACAATTTCTCTTTCGCTTTTCTACCCCCCACTTTCACGGTTAGTTATTGATTTTTGGATTAGTATAGTCTACTGGGTCGGGAGCCTCGATAAAATGAAAAGTTTTGAAAAAACTTTTTCGTTCTAAAAAAATAGATTCCGGTTACGGGGGTCAATTACAATCATTTTTGGTCATTACATATATCCCTGAAATCCTACGCACTTTCGAAAAAAAAATTCCTAATCGAAAATGTAATTTGTGGCCAGAAATATTGCCCGAAAATGTCATGCGAATCTTTAAAATGCCATAACTTCTGAACGGATCGAAGGATTTTAATGTTTCAAACGGCAAGCAACGCGTATTTTGGTGAAGAATATGTAGAAATTCTAAAAATATTCGAAAAGTTGTTCCTTGACCCCGTAAAGTGACAAAAACCCCATAAAAATGGTCCAATTTTCAGACAGCCATAACTTCTACAATAGTGCATATATTTCATTGAAAATTTTTCTGAAGTAGAGCTCATGGGTACATACTTGGAATACCGAAGTTAACGACACAAATCACCCTTGACTCCATTTTTATTATTAAATGTTAAAGAACGAATTTTTGAAAGTTTTCAAGCCTGATTTCCCACGTCTAGTGCCTTGTATCGTTAGCTTCGGTGTCCCCAGGCTCATAATCGCGCAAAAGCACATTAAAAAGCGGTGAGGTACGCTCGCTGACCCCGTCCTGGCGACCGCGTAAAACAGGATTGGCATCGAAACGAGGTACGTTCGTCGTTGGCAATAGCCGTTCGCAAGGAAAATGAGAAAGACCGTAGAAAGATAGTCGATCCTTCGGTCTATGAACGAACAATGAACGCAATTGACACTTCTGGCTCTACGGGGCTAAGGGGGTGGGAGTCGGTCCTCCCGGCGCCTCGGCGTACTTTAATATCACGAACAAAGAGGACGGAATCATCGAGTCCCCTTTAACGAAGGAGAAAGCGGAGGCAAGTTACCTGCTCTCTCAGTAAGGATCGTTTCTTCGAGGCACCATAGGTAATGCAGCCTTTACCCATCTGGCTGTTGCCAGCGTTGTAGCGGCCTCGTTCCATCAACTGGTGCGCCCGTCTCTCTCTCTAAGACCCCCTTTCTCTCTGTCTCTTCACCCCCCGGTACCCTTTATTCTACTCTTCCCCGCGCCACCTGTCTTCTTCGTGCTTCTCCCTCTGCCCTTAGGAAAACCTCCCTCTCCGCGATTCCAATAAGGCTGCCTCCGTACCATGCTCTCTCCACCCTCTCTCTTTCTGTCTGTTACCGTTCCCCAGGCACTCGCCTTCTCTCTCGTCTTGTTCGTCCTCTCACCCTCGTTCGTTGACTCCCTCTACCCTCTAGCACGGCCGTGAAGACCCCCCTCGTCCCCGCGTCCCGGTGCCCCCCTCGTCCTCTTGCGAGACCCCGAGCTTTTGCCATGGCATTGTTGCTATCGATTCGGCCCTGGAAACGTGTTTTTCTTCGGATATTTCGTGGCTTTCCCCGTCTACGGCCAGCTTCGCTCATCTGGAATAACGAGGATTCTAAGAAACCCGGGAGTATCTTTCCTTTTCCTTTCCGTTTACAACCGCGCGGCCACTGGTATCTCTGCTCCCTCAGGGTCCGAGGATTTTTTTATTGAAACACGGGACACTGACTTTCCTGGTTACTTCTCGGTTCTGGATGTTGAGGTTTGCTGGACTGGTCACGCCCCTGGACCGGTTGTCTAATGACAAATAGACTCGGTTCGGTGAAAATGTGACCCGACGATCGATTATACTTCCGGAGTCAAGGTGTTTTCCATGATCCGTAGCGTGGAGGGTGACTCTGACGAGATCCTTGGATTTTGATCATTGGATTATGCGATTATAGGCTTTTCACTAGGGTACACTTGGTGTTGTTATGCAGAACATTCATCATGTTGAGGTTTGGTTAGGGGTTGACAAAAATTGACTCAAAGAAAGACCCAAGAAAATACGACTTTGCGAGCAAACATACTCGATCAAGATGATGTCGTTCGGTAACTTCTTGTTATCATGTTCGTTATTCTGAATTCTTGATTCTGAATGTTGAAGTCTGGTGTTAAACTAGGGTCTGATGAGTCAAAGAACGTGTCACTGTGGTGATTGTTCCTTGGTTCCTTACATAATCAGACATTCGTAGTGCTTCTGAAACCCTTGCGTTTGCATTAACACAATTCCACACAGTGTATTTCACATCCCCTCGTCGTGACATGTTTCTTTATATTAAGCAATTGTGCAACCTATTTTTGATAGTGTTTTCAGCCTTTTTTCGAACGTTTAAATACTTTTTTGGCGGTATTATACTCGCAGGTGTTCGCATTTAAGTGGTGTTAATATACTGTTTACTCGACGATATTAAGTATCGAGATGATTATGGATGGTAGAGTACGGATTCTAAAAGCTATTGCGTAATTTGGAAAGTTTGCGGTTGTAATGCTGCCTCGTTCTCGATGCTGGCAATACGATCCATCGAGAATAATTATTGAAATTTGGTGGAGATTTCAACGAATGGATATAGTTCTCTTGTCCGTTTGTCCGCCGCGGTACGAGCAATTAGTATTTATATCGATGCCACAGAAACTTGAGGCTACGTGAATATATAATTAGATTAATTTTACAACATAATACGAATAAAAGGAATACATTTTGATATGCATGTTTTCAAGAATTATCATAAGTGGAAATTTTAAAAAATTTTTATGCAATTTTATCTGCACTTCAGGTTACAAAGAAAATTATATGGTAAATCTTGCTTTCAAGTGACAATTTTTATACATAAGTAGATATATCCAATAAATACGAAACAAAGGAAAATAAAAATGTCTGCATCATTTTTCACATAGAATTTAAGCAAAGGTGAAAAATTTCTTTCAATACATTGACTTGCAACGCGCGAAGGTAAATGTTATTATTTTATTCGGGTTTAATGTTAATCCTTGTTCCTCGAAATATTACCTTATTACAGCGGTATAATTAATTAAAATATATTTGAATAATTCAGGAGGATTTAACCCATTTCAGGTAATCGTTTGCAATTTAAATATCGTTCAGGTTTTAACGTATTATTGATCTGTTTAATTTAGAGTAATACGATAAGTTATTAATACGGGGGAGACTAATCAAATGCGATGAGAGGCGGACAAATTTCTTGTTTCGTTGCATTGTTACCACACGTCCTATATTTTTGTAGGTTTATTATCCTCCAATAATAAAAAAATGAAAATATGTACTACGTGCAACCCTTAATAATAATATAGTTTAAGTAATGATCAGAAAATCGTGGTTTACTGAGCTTCGTATTTGTTGGATTAACAATACGAAATTTAGAACGGTAATAAGCGTATCGATTGGTCGCGCGACCTGTGATGCGTTAAGATGCGCCGAAACTAGACCGGAGATTTCAACGAATGGCTACACTTTCCTCACGGTACGCGTAGTACGCGTTCTTACGCGCGGCAGCCATTTTGACGCACAGCGGACCGGACAGTTAAACAAATCTTTTTCATTCGTTTCATTGGACGTGGGCAAGAAAACGATCAACGAACGTGTTTCAAATCAACCCTTCGCCTTATAATATCCTGCTAAATTCGATGCATACACGGCCAAACACGACAAAGCCGATTCACACTCGTACAATCTCTGACTGCATTCTGTACTATTGTTTAATACTTAATAATTCTCCAAAGAAATTTGTGTTTTGAACCTTCCAATTAATCTTTGGTTGTTTTCTAATTGATTGCCATATTGGATACATCATCGTCCAACTATCACAAAGAATTAAATGAAGATTGAACCGTTCTGGTCGAACAAGGGTTGAGAATAAATTGTTATACGTTCGTTTTATTTTGATAATAAAATTTTGCCCGTCTCTGGCCGCGTTCCGCCATTTATTTCCCGCGTTCGGGCCTCTCGACTTTCGTTTTCAACGATTTGACTCGCTGATTAAGGCGTCCCCGACCGGTGACCATATTATCGGGGCTTAAGTGGCGTAACTCGATCGAACGGCGATTTAACATTTTCCCCTCGCCCGGCCCGCCTCGCGAGCCGTGCGTGACGTCCATTGTTCTTCGGGGAGCTCCTCGTGATCTCCATGTCAGGCTTCCTCCGGGTAGGAAAAAAAAAAGTAAATTGTCCGCCGGTTCGACAATGCCTGGGCTCGATTCGTTCGTCACCGCGGATATCTACATATTAGGCTTCAACGGTGTTTATGCGACGACATCGATCCGCCATCGCGTGGATCGTGACAAATCGAACTTCGAAAATGTCGCTGATAGTATCAGTCGGTGAATTTATCACTGCAAATTCATACTGTCTTTATAAAGCGGAAAAGAAACTTGATTCACGGAGCAAAGAACAGAAGATTTATTAGAGTTCGTGGTGACGAATTTGTTGCAAATTTATTTTGACCCTTTTTATTTATTTAAAAAGAAAGTTCAATTGTAGGATCATGTACATTTAATTACATTATATAAGTCAATTATAAATTTAAGGGATGGGACAGACACAGTTTAAGGGATGTAAAATATTGCAAATTGTTGTTCCAAAAATGATAAACTTCGAAAAACTTGGTATACTTCGTGGATGAAGCATATTTTGGGAGAATTATTATTGATTTCACAAATTACGAAAGGAAGAGAGTAAATCGAGAACACTGGAGGGGTAGAAGCGCGGCCATTTTGTTAGGGGGTCGTTTTTGCCTTCTTCGCTTTACCTATACGTAAGTATTGTTATACCAACCTTCCAGAAAGCAAACTCCTCGATTCAATAGAATAGAAAGCAGAGAAAATTGACGACGTTAAATATAATTTTCCTTTTGAAAACCCCATTTATGAATGAAGAAAACAAGAGGCACCTTTCCCAAATCCTTTATTACGTTTG